GGTAGCTATTGACTCCAAAATATTATAACTGACTTGCAAAAACAAATTAAGAAGGTAATGCGCTTGTATCGGGAAACGCACACCACTCGAAATCACGGTGCTAGTTCGGCCACGCCCTCCTGATGGAAAGATGACCACAACCACGAAGTGGGACAACATCTTTAATAGCGAGACCACGCCCACGAAGACGAGCAGCACCGACGACGGTGAGACCGCGTGTGCGAAGACGCGTAGCTCGACAGCTAGCTCAAATACCAGCCTGCCACTCAGGAAGGACAAAGTGTACCCCAGACTGCGAGCCCAGAACTGACAGCGTGGTCGGGCTGATAACCAACAGCATCGCCGATGCATACAGCGTGCGCGAAGACCTACAACGGGCCTCCACTCTTGACGACCTGCATAAGATCAGAAGTGATACTCCACTCGCAATGGGCTTCGAATTCATCGGAGATATGCTCTTGAAGATCAGCTGCAAAACGACCAGAGCAAAGTGCGGTGAGTCGGTGAGGTCGTGTTTACCGAAAACAACATAGCAAAGCCCAACGCAAAGACCGCGCTCAAGAAGAACACTATTACTGGTGCTTGATCATAAGCAAGCATATCAGCATCAAGAGCGGAGTACTACGGACATTGATGAAATTGATATCATGTCTGTATTATTCTTATCGGCTAGCAGCAGCATTGGGGGCTACCGATGGTAGAGGCTTAAACGACGAGAGCCTACTCAAGCATTAAATATCTGCAACAATTACTTCGAGAAAAATTTGAATGCATCGGATGAGGCCTTTCAACGAGCGTGAGCCGCGGCTGTTTTAAGGAATTGGTTGGCTACCTACGTCAACGTTGGCCACATTACTACGGGCACCCATCTACAACAAACAGGGCAAGATACTCTCTCGAGATAAAGATGGGATTGACCCTGCTTTATCTTGGCTCCTGTGGCTCGCTATCGAATATTGCAAGCCAGTTTGGAATGATAATTGTTACTGCATCACGCGCATATTATATGGTGTGTAGAGCCCTGTGCGACGATCGCCGACTATTTGTTCGTTTCCCTAGCTCCGCATCTGAGTGGAACAAGGTAGTGGGTGGGTTTAAGAGCATCGCTTCTTTTGGCCGCGTAGCTGGAGCCGTCGGCGGAACCTTGATAAAGCGGTCGCGACCATAAACCTTCTGGGGCTGGAATTGCATAACAAAATTCACTGCGTACAACGTACAAGCTGTAGTGCGCAGCAACAAGCTATATATGGAGTTCACTATAAGACCTGGTGGCTGCAATGACTGCACGCTATGGTCCGCTAGATGGATAGGAGCAAATATGAGAAGCATCATCCCTCACATCTATTCACTTTCTAGGTGATGGTGGGCATATGCTACGAGGCTATTTACTTACAGTGCGCGTCGTAATTATAGCCGCACCTGAAAAATAGAGCTCTTGCGCCAGAAACTGAGACCTGCCTGCAATCGAAGGGCTCGGAGGCCGTCTTAAAGGGATAGAAGACTTGTGCAGCAAGCGAGGTTGAAAACGACTAAGTCGGCTTGGAGCCAGGAGGCAAAATCTGGTTTGAGGTCGGGTCAGAATTATAGCCGCACTTGGTAATTTAAAATTCAGTAAAGTAATAAACAAAAATGATTGACTTTCAAATGTAATAAATGAGACCTGTGGACAGCCGTGTGAAAGACCTTTTAGAACCTATCCTTAGATTCGCAGGGAAGCCAGAAACGATGCCACGAGGCAAGCAGCTAACCGAGGAGGAGTGCATGATGATAAACGAGCACTACAGAGGCGGAAAAAGCAACCGAGAGATCGGCAGGCTCTTAGGACGCGACGAGAAGGCAATAAGGAACTACTTGAAGCGCGGGAAGGCGTCCTCGCTGACGAAGAGGACAGGAAGAAAGCCGAAAATAGTTGGCCGGGAAGCCAGGCGCGTCGTTCGACTGGCAATTGTTCGAAACCTGTCCGCCCAAGAGATCGCAGGACTGCTCCCATCGACACCAAGCAAGTCTATGGTACTCCGCGTACTACGTAGCAACCGCTACGTCACGTACGCGAAGAGAAGACTTACCCCTGCCATCAAGCCGCATCATAAGAAGGCTAGGGTAGCATTTGCGGAGCGTTACGCCGGTAAAAGGGTCTTTTGGAGACGCGTGCTGTTCACGGATGAGAAGAAGTTCAACCTAGATGGCCCTGATGGGTTTAGATTCTACTGGCACGACTTGCGAGCAGCGCCCAAACTCATGTCGAAGCGGGTCAATGGTGGAGGAAGCGTCATGATCTGGGCGGGGGTGAGCTGGCATGGCAACACCGAGCTGGTCTTCCTCAAGGGGAAGCAGAACTCTGTCAAGTACACCGAGACGCTGACCTCCGGCATGCTTCCATGCCTAAGAGAACTGGGGTCAAAGTTGGGCAATTTGACCCCCATTTTCCAACATGATAACGCGTCCATACATGCCTCGAGGTTCACCAAGGGCTTCCTAGCCACCCATAACATCGAACCAATGGCGTGGCCTGCCAAAAGCCCCGATCTGAACATCATAGAGAACGTGTGGGGGCTTCTAGCTCGCCGGGTGTACGCCAACGGACGCCAATTTGACAAGCCTGCCGACTTGATCAGACAGATCAAGTTAGAGTGGTCTCGCATTGATCCTGATTATGTTAAGAAGCTAGTGCGAAGCGTCCCAAAGCGGCTGGAAGCGACGCGGCTGTTAAAAGGAGCTAAGACGGGTTACTAGAGCCGTTTGCATGTAGAGCCTGCAAGTGCGGCTATAATTCTGACCCGACCTCAAACCAGATTTTGCCTCCTGGCTCCAAGCCGACTTAGTCGTTTTCAACCTCGCTTGCTGCACAAGTCTTCTATCCCTTTAAGACGGCCTCCGAGCCCTTCGATTGCAGGCAGGTCTCAGTTTCTGGCGCAAGAGCTCTATTTTTCAGGTGCGGCTATAATTACGACGCGCACTGTACACAATTTCCACATGACTAGCGAGCGTCTCGCGACGTGAGGATGTACGACTTTGCTCACGCAAGAGCATATATCCCTGTGGAATGTGCATTTGGGGCACTCAAGGGAAGATTTCAGATACTTTGGCGTGAGCTAGAAAGCCACTCTGAGCAGATCAACGCGACCGTTATTCGAGCATGCAGAGTTTTACACAACATTTGTATTATGCACGATAACGATACCCTCGAGGCGTTATCCAGGATTGTAGTCGATGAAGACATGAATTATACTGAAGATGAACTGTTGAGGCACGACAATGATACGGAAATATTTGATTCGTACTGGGACACGGGTGGAAATGAACTTCGGAAAGGTGAGACCAAACGCAGCTTCTATTTGAGGCTTATTTGCAGTACGAAATAAACGTTATTGACTCGAGTTTTGGAAATGTTGGCGTACTTCTCCGACAGCGGAAGTTAGCTTGTTCACTTTTGCATTCACAGCAGATATGTCAGAGCGGAGCGATACATTCTCGTTCTGTGCTACAGGAGCCGTCACTTCAAATACATTGCTTTGGGAAGCCACATTTTCGATTAGCTCTTCGATGGAGTCGCAAATACGTACCACTGGAGCTTCACTTGACCCTAATTTGCGTGAACTAGACGCCTTTTGTTTCTTGCTCGGCCACTGGGTACTATCGCCTTCTGACACCGACGCTTCAGCCAAAGCACCTCCAGCCCCTTCCGGTGTGTCTACGTGAGATCTACCTACCGCGAGACCGCACAAATCGGGATACCGAATTAAACAGTCCACAAGAAGCTCTCAATATGCTGAGTACGTAGGACCTTTGCGATTGCCAGTGGCCGTAAAGATTTCCTACGAAGATTTTGTTAGGCCCTGATTTCTCCGTCGGGGTCTTGGTTTGGGAAATTAGGAGATGCATTCTGATTGGTCATCGGTTTATTCCCTGACAAGTTGTTTATTCCCACCCCTTGGCGGGTGGGAAAAAAGGGCGGATAATATTCCGAGATAGGCACGGATTTACAAAAGACACCAAAACAAACTTGTGGCTGCTATGGAGCACCGTGACGGGGTAGAAGAAACTGCATCAATGCTACTTCTGATGACGGTGTATGAGGGAGCGATTGCCGCGGCCACGGGACGGCTTCGGGAGAACAATGAAAATAAGTTAATTGTAACAAAACCTGACTTTGATGCGCTATTGGCATCTCCGTGTTGTGATACTTATTTTCGAGGTAACTTGCGCTGTTCTCAGCGCAGCTTCGTGTGATTTTCCGCCCTCATGCCCCTCCTCATCTACTTCACGGGCGGAATTACTAATTTGAAAAGAAAATAGGCTTATTTTTGCTGTATCTAGCGTCGTCTGGAAGTATGAAGGATGCAGACCTTGCTTTAGGTATGTCCCAGCCTCACACAGCTGCTACGATAAACGAGTTGCTTCGTGTTATTTGTAGGCGTGCTGAGGATTTAATTAAAATGCCGTCTACAAGCGCTGGGTGGAGGGGTTTTATGGAAGGATTCGCTGATGTTAGAGGCTTTCCGTATTATGGAGCAGCAGATGGATCGCTTTTTGAAATTTCTCGACCTGCTGATCATGAAGGATCGTATTGTAAGGACTTCTACCCTGTGATTAACATGCAAGCTATCTGTGATCATTGACGGCGATTTATGGATTGTGATATGCGGACGCGGTCTCACAGTGACAAAAAAACTGGAAAGTATCTACAATTGGCACTTCAGTTCAAAATACGATTCCTCGTGGCTGTCATTTCCTTGAAGATGCCGGGCTCAAGCTGAGTTGCGAGCTTCTTACACCATACATACCACGCGACGAAGGCGGTAAACTTTCTCGTATTCAGGAACGTTACAATTACATTCATAGTGCGACACGGACGGCTATTGAATGTGCGTTTGGAATGCTAACGCTAAGATTTCGTCTGATACGAAGACAACTGGAACAAAAGTCGATCATGAATTGCACAAGGTGCTTTTTGTCTGCAATGATCCTGCACAATATTTTGCTTAACCTTAATGATGACACTATAAGTCGGAGCGAGCAGGAAGATACTGGTAGTATGCTGGAAATCCTGATACCGACTTGCGTGCTATTAGTAGGGCTCAGCGAGACGAGTTAGCACGTTTGTTCTACTGCTTCACAATACAAAGCTAGTTTTTGTTTCTGAGTGTCTGAATCCACTCCTTGATAGCAGGTTTAGAGCGTTTTCTTGGCGTGAGAGCGATGCTACAACATCCCGGAACAGCGCAGAGTCACTAGCCGTTGAAGATTTGGACTTCATGATTTCACCCATCACTTTGACCCCATCGGCCAATGCACGAAAGCCTGTAAAACAATATTTAATAGAAGGATTGTTTTGTTTTGGAGAAATTAATAGTATTAAAACTTCTTTGACACATTCACCGTTAGTTCGCTTGCGCTTGTTGTGGTTAGAAGCGGCGGTGTCGTCGCTGAACGAGACACTGTCAGAGTCAACATCCTCGTGAGCCGTACTGCCGTCACACAACGATGTGTTCTGCATGCCAGAATTTGGAGCCCAGTGCTCCATCATGAGCTCCAAACACGGTAGAGGCGCAGACTTTGGGACATTTCCGGTAGCATGCTGGCCCTCCGATATAAGGACCATTTCTTCTTCAACAATTTTATCTACACGTCCAATACAACAAGTATTGGCAATATAATAACCAGAAAACGATTTGGTACCATATTCACCTTATCCTTGCATTGTGTCACGGTGTACGCTCGGTCTTCCGCTTTATTCAGCAGAGTGACTACAAGCACCCGAGTGGCACCAATCTGAACGTGATTCCTGGCTCGCTTGAGCTCGTCCTTTGCAGTAACGTATCTAATAAAATAGAACAAAGCCATACAGCGTTACTGTAAAGATGAATCCGTAGTATTTACTCAGTATCATGACTTACCTGGCTATAAACAGAGTTTCCGCTGTCGACTCCGTCCATAACCCACGCTCCTCCTTCGAAGGACGCCCACGCTTTGTCTTCGACTTGGGTAGCGGGCCAGATATTTACTCCGTTACTTGCTTACACTATAGTGTTGAGGATCCTCGGAATAGGACGACTGAGTCTTAGGTTTAACCCCCTGGTTCCCAACGTCGTAACTTACGCCATAGCAAATTTAGTATGTCGTAACTTACGACATAGAGAAAGCAACAACAGAAAATGGCTCAAACCATACTTTATTCAAGTCAATTCAGGAAAATAAGATGGGAGAGGTAAATCAAAATCGCATCAGAAACAGGCCAGGCGGGAAGGGAGACGGAGGGAACGGGAAAGAGACTCGTGGATAAGGATAGGATAGGAAGGTGTAACCGTGCCATTCCAGAATTTGCGCAATGGTGCGCATCCGGTCCAGTACGCGTGGCAAGACAGATGCTGTTGCTGCTGCTGCCAGGGACATCGACTTCAAGCACTTGTGGAGACAGCTGCGAGCAGTTGGATGGTCATCGAAGAGACCAAGCGGCATCGAGACGGAGTGGAGGTACGTGACTCCGAATGGTGTCGAGGTATTTGTTGGAGAAGATGCGGTCGTGATGCATGCGATAGAGTCCGGTTTGCTGGCGAATAGCGAGGATGAAGAAGAGAAGACCGAAGACAACGCCAGCCCCAATGGCAAAAACGTTGAGGAAAGTGATATTCGAGTATCGCAGATTGACACAGGAGCACAGCTGTCACAACACACACTTGATGATCTCTTTGGCTCCTCGAGTGACTCAGACGTCGAACTTTCGCAGGCCGCAGTGCCACGAGCGTTTGGACTATCATCGGGAGAGCTCGAAGCTGCTGAATCACATCTAAATGCAGCAACAAGCCTTCACTTAATGTCGGAAGCTTCTGGCATTGATAGTGAGGCTGAAAGAGATGACTTTGGCGCTGCACCCTCAGGCTCGAGGCTTCGTCCACTCTCCAACGTCAAGCCGGATGTTAACTTTGTCCCAGAGGATGAAAATATGAGCGCCTATGAAAGTCTCAGCTCTGGCCAGAGCGACAGCGACGGCGTGGACGACGGCGACGAAGATTCCCCCTTAGTGGATACTCCAAGCGATGATGATGTCGTATCGGACGCTGACGCTCCACACATGGACGAGGCATTCGTCGAATCACTTCTTATAGGGCAAGATGGTGTCAACAAAAAAGCCGCGGAGGCAAGAGCTAAAGCATTACGAGCAACGGAATGGTCTCCCGTATCGTCGGAGTTTGAGGAAGCGTCGCCCGCGTACCCGGGACTCAACGCAGAAGTGGGCAAGCCTGTACCGGAGCTACGCAGCGTCTGTCATTCACCGCTTCTGACTCTCTTCTACTATATGCCAAAATCACTGTGGGTGATGATAAACGTTGAAACAAACCGGTACAGTATGCAACAGATCGAAAAGCGGGCACAAGCAATACACGTCAAGCAGCTGGAGCCTAAACGAGAAACCCTCACACAAATCCGCCGGCGTTTAAAAGCAAAACCAGCGTACCAGACGCACGAGATCCTCCAGGTCCTAGGACTTCTCATTGCACGGATGTTATGCCCACAGAACCGCCGCCTTGCGGCACACTGGTCGATGACGGAGGACGGGGCAGTTCCGGCTGGAACATTTGGCCGGTTCATGGGTCGCAACCGCTTAATCTCTGAACTACGAGACCTTCACTTTGTGGACAACGAGGGTGAGCGTGCACGTGACAAGCTGTGGAAACTTCGGCCCGTTGTCACCAAGCTCCAGGACCGGTTTCTGGCTGGATGGTCTCTTCCGGCAGTGTTCTCATTCGATGAAGGCGTTCTTCCTTCCACTTCTAAGCGCAATTCAACCCGGATGTTTATGCCGGACAAACCTCACCGGTATGGCACGAAAATATTTATGTTGTGTGATGCAATAACAGCATACTGCCACAGGTACTGTATTTTTAACTTATGTCGTAACTTACGCCTTTTGAGTTTCTGTCTAACATCTATGTTGTAACGTACTAGATTCGAAATGTACGCTGGAAAACGAAATGCTGGAGACACTGGCGACTCTTCATTCGACCATAAGACAGGTGCTGCGGCGGTTGTTCGTAACCTGAAGAGCGTGCTTCACGAAAATCGTCGCCATCTGTGGCACTTAGTCGTGATTGATCGATTCTACTCGTCAGTCCTTCTTGCGATCGAGCCCCTTGGTATGAGTGTTTACGTGTTGGGCACTATAATGACGGACAGACTTGGCTTTGACAATAATGTCAAAGCGACTAGGAAGACACGACCGGCAAGCATTCCTCGAGGGGCGTTCACATTCTCCCGTTCTATTGCTGTTCCAAGTATGGTGGCATACCAATGGTGGGACAGCAAACCCGTGCATTACTTGTGCACGGGCTCTGTGATGACGGCTTCGTCAATCAATAGGAATGTGAAGCGCGTGGGACCAGTTACTGTGCCATGTCCTGCAGCTGTGACGGATTATCAGCGCTGGATGGGAGGAGTTGATATTCATGATCAACTCCGCCTCCAGAAGTTCTCGTTACAGACGTCGACCAAGTTCAAGAAATACTACATGAGTTTGTTCTTGGGGCTCGTCGACCTAGCGTTAGTGAACGCATACATTTCACATAAGGAAACCGCACGAATTGCTGGAACGCCGGCGACGAGGCGTGGAGACTGGTATTGCATCCTTCAGAATCAGCTTCTCCAGCTCAAGGCTGAAGACTTTGATGGTGTCGTGGCGACTCCACCACCGCTACGCCAAAAGCGCCAACGTGCTCCAGTGCGGCTTACCCATGAAGTGGAACAGTCGGAAGATTGGGTGACTGTCAGCGGTGTGCAAAAGCGACGCCAGCGATCCTGTAAAGTCTGCGCATTACTCAGGACCGACAAAAAAAAGAAATCTTACGCTACGACTTTCTTCTGTGAGCGCTGCTCGCTGGACAACGCCAAATGCTGGCTTTGTAACAAGATCCGGCATACCTACAGGGGTGAAGCAAAGACCTGCTTTGCAATCTGGCATGCCGATTTTGACTGCGGTCAGGCGATCCCTGTCACCTTAGGGAAACGAGTTGTGCTGCGGCGTCCCGGGAAGAAAGCTGGACTGCGGAAGAAGACTCACCGAGAATTACAGCTTCACAACGGGGAAGCAGACGACGAGGGGTCTGGAAATGATAATGACAAAAACCAGTGAGACCAGTTTGTGCACAAGAGAAGTGATGAAATGCCAGGTGTCAGATTTGATTTGTGGTAACTTATGAGTTGTAATGCAGTTTTCGCAGATTTGATGCACGGGTTGCTGCGTCTTTTTCCTTCTAGGTGCCGGCTCTCGCGCCCTTTCTTTCATCCATCGGTGTCAGTTACGACATTGATCTAGTGATGAACACAAGAAAGGAGTATAACTTACGACATTCCTCAGTAAACCTGTTCAGATTTAATATCGCTTCCCGCAGACGTCTATGCACATCATACAGAACCAAAGTAACTACGCACGTCGTAAGTTACGACATAACAGTACCGTGACTTATACGTTAGCTGTCATAAATTCCGGGAACCAAGGGGTTAAGGAAAAATCACCTCTGACTTTATTTTAGGACCAAGGTCACAGACCTGGCCACTCGAATACACGTCATAGTCCAATTGGCTAATAATGGGTATGGCTCCCCACATATAAGCCAAAGGCATGACAGCATTTCAGCACACGCTAGTCGTGTGCTAATGCACCTACTTATGTAAAGCAATCTACCTATTTGTGTAATGGAGGGGCCCATACCATAACCCCCTCTTAAAGTTGCACTTACGCAACATAAACAGTGGGCGAAGAACAAATCAATCTGCGTGAGGATAGCGAACGGGAACTTGGCTAACAGGCGGAGCGAAACGGAGACGGAGACATCTCCTGTGAAGCGCAGGAGCGACACTGCTCAACTTGCGGAGAGCTTGACAAGCGACACGATGATCAGCAGCGGACAGGAACACCGACGACGGCGACGTCGTCGACAGCAAGAGCGACAGCAGCGGCACGCGGCGCGCGTTTGACGGACGACCATCTCCGGGCATGGGCTCCCTACGATATATCCAGAGCGCGAGCTCCGGACACACTGGACACGATGAAAGATCACTCCTGGCGCTTCCGCGGACTGCGGTAGAATCCTGATGAGGGTGTCGCATATAGCGCGTCGCAGGAGCCGTGGTGCGCTTCCATCCGGCACTGAAACCGGACGCAAGAAGAAGGGTAAAGCTTCGTCGGCTGGATGGTGTACCGCGAGGAGATCCTCAAGGAACACTCGCTCACGGAACTTCGTGAGCGCGCCTGCACCAGCTTATGGGAGGACATGCGCCGCATATGCTACGTGTGGGTCGCTGAAGGGTGTAGTACTTGTACTGGGTCGCGCCCGACTGTCCAGGAGGGCAGAAGTCACATCGCCGAGTATCCGCTCGGTGAGCAAGAACACGGGTGAATCGAGAAGTATCGTCGCTCGTTGGCCGAGAACGTGCGCGCCTCTAGTCTCGTTCGTGCAGCCGCAAGTCGTCGGTCTCGATCACGTTCGCGTGGTCGCTCGAGTCATTGTCCTCGCTCTAGCTGGCATGCGTCACATGGTGGTTCGCAGCGAGCTTGGACTCATACGCCTGGACCACATTCGAGCCGTCACGAAATAGATTGGCACGAGGCTCCAGCGTATCCTTGTCGGGAGGACACCTGAGCCATCGTAACCGATACGATGGTCGGCCGGAACATCGTGGGCGAGCCCACGATGGAGCGATGGAGCGCGAAGTGGATCTCCGTGGGCAACAATGTGCTCAACAATCCAGCGGATATCTCCGGCAGCGTCAACAACAGGAGGAGGGCAGTCGCGTCGATAGCACTCGCGCTCTGGCTGCCCAGAACGAGAACGACTTGTTGAACCGCTACTGGGATGCCCAGCAGGAGTTATATGAAGCTCTCGATCAGACTGTCCGGGACACCGGGGAGAGTGCGCAGCTGCGCCAGTCGAAACGGAAAATCCTTGCTCGGTTGCAGATGCTGAAGAGGTCCGTTCACGGTCGTTTATAGACGGGGATACAGCCTCGAGATCCGAATCCTGGTGCGGATGGATCAATGGCTCGCCGCGCCCGTCGAGAAGGTCACTCGACGCATGCTCCGGCTCAGGAGGCTGAGACGACTCTGGAGTCGTAGCGGGGTGATATTTCTTGAGTCGTCCGACGTAAAACGTCGGATGTAGACGTAGTGACGTAGGAATGTCCAGAGTGTAAGCGTCACCAATGGCCGTGATTTGTTTTTCTTCATTTCCCGCAAACGGCCCAATAAAGCGCGGCGCAAGTTTGTTCGCACCGAGGTTGGTACCGCAGATTTTCTGATACCTTCAGTCAACAGGAACAC